CACACCAAACAGCTCATTATCAACAAATTCACCCAACAAGCTCCAAAACAATCTCCAACAAGCTCCAAAACAATCTCTCTTATATCCAATACAATCTCTTACATCCACTCAATCTACCTCACCGCTCCAGCCCCCATAAATCACTCGTCCCATGCTCACCAGATCGCTCAAACCTAAGCAGATCCTTGATCTCCACAGCACAAACTCTCCAAAACCGCACCTCACCTGCTATACCCAAACAAGGAAAACAAGAAAAGCCATGTGCGGTGAGTTTCATGCACTGCAACGTAAGGGAACTTAGGTTCTTGTTGTCCCACCACCTAATCAAAATATCAGAAGTGAGTTCCATGCACTCCAATGTCAGGGAACTTGGATTTTAGTTTTCCTGCCACCTAACCTAAATATCATTGATTGCAGATAGACCTAAAGAATAAAACTCAATTCTGATGGGTCAATTGCCAAATACAAAGTGAGAGTTGTAGCTCAGGGGTTCAAACAAATGCAAGATATCGATTACAATGAAACTTTATCCCGGTTGCGAAACTACCCACAATCAAGATTCTTCTTACAATTGTTCTCTATCAGATGTGGCCAGTGCAGCAAGTCAAACATTTCTACATGGCATACTAGAAGAAACTATATATATATATATATGCAGCAGACACATGGATTCTAATATGCTCAATTTTCTGATCAAATGTGATTCCATAACTATCTATGGCCTCAAACAAGCACCGGGGCATTGGTACACCACTCTTTCTCAAAAGCAAAGGGAATAAAATGAGCACAGTTGATCCCTCCCCATTAATCTATGTGGATGATATATTCACAAGCAAAGATTCCTCAGCAATCTCCACAATCATACAAGACCAAAGATCAGCATTCCAATTCAAAAAGCTTGGGGAAGTAAAAACCTTCTTGGGAGGTCACAGACGGCACTATCTCAAAAGATACTTCTTGAATCAAAAGGCATACATAAGCTCTCTTCAACAACAACTAGGCATAACAAACTACAAACCTATAACCACTCTGACACCTCACCAGTTGAAACCTGACACAATTTCTCAGAAGAATACCCTAATACCAACCAATATTGCCAATTGGCTGATTCCTTGCAATTTCTCATCATTATAAGGCCAAATATAGCCTTTCAGTCTACTAACTATGCCGGCATATGCACAAACCTCTCTTATATCACTTTCAGCTCATTAAATGCCTAATACGCTACCATAGAAGCTATTTGGACTAGGGTTGGGCTGGAAACTTTGATGATCGCAGATCCACGCCAGGATTTTGCTCCTTCTTAGGCAACAACCTCATCTCCTAGATTGTTCATAAGCAAAGGCCTATTGCACAATTATCTACTGAAACCAAACACAGGGCCTTAGTTGTTGCAACTCCGGATATAATTTGGCTCGGACAACTTCTCCAAGAGTTTCACATTCTCATAGCTGCGACAACACATATCCACTGTGACAAAACTTTAGCCATTGCAATCACCCTCAACACGATCTTCCATGCTCGCACTAAGCGTATTGAGATTGACATCATTTTGTTCGTGATGATGTATCCTCAAAAGCTATTCAAGTACAGCATATTGCCGCACAAGATCAAACACTATATATCCTCACTACATGTTTGCCACAAACCAAATTCACAACTACGCACCAAGCTGACAATCCCTTCACTAGATTGTGATCTGAGGGGAGGTAACGATCGACCCTATAGCTGTAACCGAAACCTAAGCACTGCAGGATATCTCACCTCCCTTATCACCATCTGGCTGTCTGGAACCACATCAGGTGCTCCAGGAGTTTCTCTTCATTAGTATATATACAAATTGTTGCATCACCGTATGGTTTTGAAAAAGAATTACCAATGTTCAGCATGACATGGCTGTGATCCCTGCACTAAATTCTCCTCCGTGCTTTCAGCTTCCACTCTGATTCTCTTCCTGCAGGTTCTCAATTCATACTCCAGTTTAACTTCAACTTTTCTTCTGGTGGGTATAAGCAGAGCAACGTAAGGAAAATATAAGTATGCACTAATTTCCTATGAAAAATCATTTTCCTATGAATTACACTCAATCTTATGAATTACACTCATATGTATACATATACATATGTATACATATATAAAGATAGATACACACATATGTATATCTATGAATTACACTCAATCCAAACAGTAAAGATGAGATTAAAAGAAAGAAAAAATAATCCTTTCCACCAACTCTACAAAAACTAAGCACAGCCTCAAGGATCGCTTGGATCGAAGAAAAGCGAATGAAATTATGTAATTTTCCAAAAAATTATAGGTTGGCTATTCATCTCCAACCATTTTAAGCTTTTCAACCGTTTTCATCAGTTCCTATCAAATCCCTCGCATCCAAATAAAGCCATAAGTTCTAGGAAAAAGTAGAAATGCAATATTCGATGAAATTAACAGATTCGGAAAAGGGAATAGTTAATGCCAACTTCATTGGTAGCAGGAAGACACATAAAAATGACTTGGGTGAGGTAGATGATGCAGAATATACAGCGATTGGAGTGAGAAGAACCTGAGGAGAGGGAGAGGCCATGAGAAAGAGAAGGACGCCATTTAGGACGGAGATTCGCCCAATGCTTTGAAAGCTCTCACCGCCGGGATAATGGCGTCCAGGTTTCCTGCTGTGCAGTCGAAAATGGCTTCTTAAACCCTTTGCTCAAATAATTGATAACATTAATCAATTATTAATTAAATAAAATACAATTATTTAAAATTTGACTAAAATAGTTTAAATATTAAATATGTTTTTATCCATAAAGTGGTGTGATAAATATATTGTAAAGTTTGAATAAATTTAAAGTTGAGTTTGTAGTTCATTTTTGTCGAAATTAGAATTCAGTGATGAATTTGAATTACATAATTTATGTAAAATGTTATAGTCAGTTGTTGTATCGAAAAAGATTTATTGTCATTGCAGTTTGCCGCCTCCCTAGCTTAGTTATCGATCATTGTTGTGCTGATCATGGATGTCAGACTCTCATCGGCTAGTTATCAGTCATTGTTGTGTCGAACTTTCATTGCCCCTAAAAAAAATTAAAATACATTATATTTAATATACTTCAAACTAAATAAAAAAATAACATCATGCATTTATTTTAGAGAGAACCTCATTTTGAGCAAACCAAACTGGCCTTAATAATTACATTTAAATTTATCTAATTAAGATTAATTTTGTAACATATAAATTAATTATTAATTAAAAAATTTAATAAAATAAAATAAAATAAACATAAATAATATATAAATTAAAATCGCCATTCTTCTTCCTCTCTGCTCAAAACCATTGCAAACCTTCGCCACAGTCGCCATTAGAGAGCTAGCTGGGAAGGCAACGACGGGATTGCGGCTCACAGAGACCACCTTAACTTCCAAATATCTCATCCTTCCGCTCCGCTCCTGCCAGAAGTCATTGACGAAGGTGAAGCCTATTCACGCCATTCTTCCTCTTCGCTTGTTCCGGATTTAGTACGTCCGCCAATTGACAGAATTCAGTAAGTCCCGGATTTATCAGGAATCGGCATCATTTTGGGATTTAAGGGGGCTCAGGATTTACGGAGGCGTTCTGTGCCGTTTGCCAGGATTTAGCTTAAATCCGGCGTAAGTACTGCTTAAAACCGGCTACCAACAGCCCCTAAGTTCTTCCTCGATGACGACGATAGTGCCGACATCGGAGGAAGATCCTGTAATCGCTGTTGTGCGCTTCACGTCGGAGCTCGCTTGGGCCGACGCAGGTCCGGAGGTAGGGATTCTTCTCCTTCTTTAGTCGATTTCAGTTCGCACGTTGCATTGGTCTGGTTATCTTCCTAGGTTCTGTCAAACTCTGCAGAAAGATTGTTTCTTCACTGTTTTTAACTGCAATTTTTGTGCCTAATAAGTTTATGTTGAAATGGTTTTAGGTTTTCCTTCATAAGCATGTTCAAGATGCTCGATACTCATTTCGTGTTCTCGATAGCTTAAGCAACACCATTAGCTCATTAGGTATTTGATAATTAGAGGGTTTTCTGATTGAGTGTTCCTACATTTTCATCTTGGGCTAAAGGATATGTCACTGTTCTATATTTGTATTGATGATTAATTTGCTATTTTTCGGAGCTTTTTTAGCAATTAATTATAGAAATTTATCTACTTCTTTGTGATTTCTTAGGTGGCAGAACCTCAGGTTGCCAGGCTATGCATTGAGGCTCAAGAATGCATGGTGATGGGTAGGTGGGTGGATTTGGTTTCTCTTATGCTTACTTCAGCCGAGCTTATAACTTCAAGAGTCTCTGAGAAAGGTACAATTTTTTAGAATCCTTAGTTTTATTATTGGGGCAGTTAGATACATAGCACACAATTCTTATGTATTTACATATCTCACTCTTAAAATTTCATATTTGAGCATAGCGCTGAAATTCTTAATATAAACTAAAAATAGCACTATTACTACCTTTTTAAAAGTAAAATACACTCTTTTCATGCATAGGCTTACATCATGAAAGTGCCATGTCATGTAATATGAAAGTTTAGGTGCGAGGTATGTAAATAAATAAGATTTATGTGCATGATATGTACATTTCCCTAGCATTTTATATGTTATGGTCATTTTCTATTGATGGGGCCTAGTAGTTTGGATCTAATTGTATCATGCTCTTATAGGTTTCATTCATGTAATATGCACAGTGCACATAATCTACAGCGTAATATGAACAATGCACATAATCTGCCGCGTAATATGCATGTATTGTAAATCTTATTGTTACAACGCTAAATTTATGGGTCTGAAGCATACTATATGTTTTTTTTCCTACTCTTGGTGATTGATTCCTTTTAGTCTTATAACTCTTCAGTTTTATTATGGCCATATAACATAGAGTTGAGACCATGTGATGCTTCTATTTCGAGCAATTAGCAGCGAGGGATTGATTAATGCAATTGAAAATTTCATCGCATATTTTTATCTAAGGGCATTTACATACATGGCACACAATTTTTATGTATTTACATATCTTACACCTAAAATTCCATATTTACACACATAACTCTCGAATGATCAATATCACATAAAAAGTAGCGCTATTATCACTTTTTTAAAAATGAAATGTACCTTTTTATGCATAGTTTTAAAGCACCAAAATGTTTTGTATGTAAAAATGAAAGCTTAGTTGCGAGATATGTAAATACTTAAGAATTGTGTGCTACGTATGTAAATTTCCCTTTTATCTTTTAAAGAAGAAAGCCATATATTTGTATTTCCTTTCATAATCTATTGTAAAAAATATTGAGGCATTTGGTTTCTTACATCAGATTTCGAGTGCACCTTCACCGTCATATGTACCCTTGCAACAAGAGCTGGTAGTTCAGATGAAACATTGGAGATAGTAAAGCTTATTTCAACTAAGATAATCGACCACCCAAATGACAAACCCGCTCTACGCTTGAAGATGTAAGAGGAAGATCTATTACTTTTTATTTTGGTACTCGTACCAGAATTCTTTACTTATAAATTTACATTTTCTTTTACAAACAGTTTGTTCAATCTGTACAATCTGTTAGAGGATCCTTACAGCAGGTTCTTGGTTTACAAAAAAGTGCTAACTTTGGCAGCTAATGGAAAGGTGACTGAGAGCATCATTCCTTCATTTAAGTTGATCGATAGTTTTCTACAAGAATGGAATATTGGAAAAGAGGATCAGAGAGAGCTTTTTTTGGCCATCTCTAACATTTTAAAGGATAGTAAAAAGTACGTATGAAAATTTTATTTTAGTTTGCAACTTTTTTATATGAATGATTTGGTTTGCTATGTCTGTTTGTATGATTATTAACATTAGATGATATATTTTTTCTCCTTTGCAGCACATGCAAAGAATCCTTTGTCATCTTGTCTAAGTACTTAACTACCTTTTCCACTGAGGAAGCTCTTGCAATGAATGAGGAAAAAGAGGAAGCTGTCCGAGCTATAACAGAGTTTGTGAAGTCTCCAGACATCTTTGAGGTACCATAGAAGCTAAGCCCTTATTGCATGTGGGTGTCCATTTCCGAGGTTCCTAAGTTGAAGGTAGATACACGAAATTTTAGAAAACTATAATGTGGTAAAACAATGCCCTCTTTACAATAGAAAAATAAGAGTAACATCCACAGTTATTTGCTTTGAAATCAGTTGTTGGGGTATATATAAAATTTAAAACGATCGACGACGAAGTGAAAAATAGCACGAGAAAAATTCACACCAGAAAAAAACACACAGATTTACGTGGTTCGGCAAATTGCCTACATCCACGGAGTTGCAGAGGATTTTACTAATTGAGGAAATTTACACCAGTTTAATCACAACGCCAATTACAGAATTTCTCACTTGCTTTTTCTCTTTACACCAAGATTCACCCAAGAACAAGAACACCGAAGAAGAAGAAAAATATACAAGAGAAAACTTGTTTCTCTTCTGCCACAAGTCACCAAGAGGAACACCTTCTTCACTATCTTCTTCTTCCTTCTTCTGCTTCCCGTAAGTCTCAAGAAGAATCAAAGGAGAAATCTCCTTTCTGACTTCACCGCTTGTCTTCAACGCAAATCCTTCCTTCCTGTCTTCAACGCAAGAACGAAATCATTCCTTCAACGTTAGCAGAAACTCGCGCAGAGGGAGCAGAGAAAGAGAGTTCATGTTTCGCAAAACAAGAGATAGTTGAGGCTTCAGTTTTGCGAATATATGTGAACCGAACCTGACGTGGAGCGGGAGATGTTCGCGTAATGGAAGGGAGGCGGGAGCAGTTGCTGGCGAAGAGACGCAAAGCTTCGCGCGGGCGAGATCGCGGAGCGGGATCGTGAACAAGGACCGCAAATCGTCGCGATTGGGTACGTGAAGGCCGAAGCGGGTGCGGGAGATCGCGATTCACGATCGGAGTGCGGCCTCCAGCGCCTAACACTACCATAAGGGCATTGATAGGCATATAATTAAGAATCCCTACTTCAACTATTAGGTTTTCCACACATTTTTTTTTGTAGCCGGAAGATGTATGATTTTGATCTTGTCGCTTCAATGCCTAATAGTTACTTTAGACGTCCCATGCTTGTCTCAAATTTAGTAGCCAATTAGTTTTTCAGACTAAAAGATGTCTTTTATGATGATCATTTCAGATGCTAAACTAATCAAGGCAATTATGTTTCTTTTTTATCCGTTTTTGGAAGAGTGGGAACCACGTTACTTTGTTGAAAAACTGGGTTATTGGGTTATTGGGTTTTAGTTGTGGGGTGTATTATCATAATCATGCTACGCATAGGGTGACTGTGTTCTTTGTCCCCTTCTTCGGAAGGCTGGGTTATTGGGTTTTAGTTGTGGGGTGTATTATCATTCATGTAGAAAAACTTGTTTTTGTGTGAGATGTACATCTTGACAATTTGGGGCCGAAGGAAGTAATGAGTACAATCGGGTTTGATACCATTTTGTACATTGTTGGTTGAAATATGGTTTTTTGTAAAAACCAGGGACATTTTTTGAAATGAGGCTTTTTAAGTATGGCATTGTTGTTCCTTTCTCGTAAGATATGATGCTGTCATCATTTTCTTAGGTTCGTTCATAGATTGCGATAACCGTTTTAGAATAAAGAAGAACACAATAATCCCATTGCTGTGATAGCATGCTAAGCAAAGAGAAGGGAAGATAACAGTAAAGTATTTACATCCTATTGCACAGAATACTGTGTATTTCTTCCATTACAACTGCTGAAACATAAACAAAAGGCAAGGTTTTATTCGGAAAATTTTTTTAAACTTGCTCAGCTATTGCAATGAGAAATTAATTTGGAACCAATATAATAATACTATCCATCTTTCCCAACTACTCATATCAAAAATAAGGAAGGAATGGCTTACATGAACATTATTATCTTCTTTTTTCCCCTTAAAAAGTCCAACACTGTATTTCTGAAGGTCTGATTTAAAAAGTACTCCCTTCATGACTTGCACAATTGTTCTTGATAAATAATAGGGGCATTTACGTCATACCATCAAATTCTTATGTATTTATATGTCTAACACCTATACTTTATTTTTCACATTTATATCACCAAAATCTTTCACAGCACATGAAAAAGATCAAATTTTTATATGAAAAAAAATGAAATACATCTTTTTATGTGTAGCTAAGTTGGCATATTTGTAAAAGTTGAAGTTTAGTTGTTACATATGTTGATACATAGGAATTAAGTGGTATGCATGTAAATCTTTGATCTTGTATTTTGATTTCTTGAATAATGTAACAATTAGACTGACAAAAGCGACTTGTAGAAATTATGCCTCTCCCATAGATAGTATTTGTCTTAAAAAAAGTTGAGTTTTAATGACCGAGCAATCTATAGAGCATTGTTTTTATTGCAATTTTTGTGGACAAGCATTGTTTTTCTTTTGCTTTATTTTGTTTTCCAACAATATATTTCCTTTGCTGTTCTATAGTATCTTATAGTTATCTATTCTACCAATCCAAATAGTTGGTATATGTTGATGATTCCTAATATTTAATATGTTTTTAACGGGTTAAACTTTAAAATGGTCCCCTAACTATTTATATGTAACCAATTTAGTCTTAGAATATCAAATTTTGTCAATTTAGTCTCCCGGCACTTTTTATCTCAATTTCTAGGTAAGGGATTATTTTGGATTTGCATAGTCAAGGGGCTAAATTAGAGAAATGTTATATTGAAGGACTAATAGTCGCACAAGAATAGTTGAGGGACTATTTTAAGGTTTAGGGACATTTTATATGCATACCACATAATTCTTATGCATTTACATACCTAATGCCTAATCATTTATATATATTTAAATGCACACCGCTCAAATATTTAACATCACATCAAAAGTACCATAATCACTACTTTTTAAAAGTGAAATTCACCTTTTCATGCATAGACATATACCACCAAGGTGCAATAAGATATCAAACTTTGGGTGTTAGATATGTATATACAAAAGAATTCTATGGTATTTATGTAAATTTTTCTGAGACTAATTCCATTGCTAACTATTTTACCAACATCAAATTTAGTATTCCTGATTTACTTGCAGTGTGACCTGCTAAATATGCCTGCCATTGCACAATTGGAGAAAGATGAGAATTATGCTTCGGTTTATCAGCTACTAGAGATTTTTCTCACTGGTAGACTTGATGCCTACTTAGATTTCCATGCTGGAAATTCAGCCTTACTGAGGAGCTATGGTATAATAATAAATTACTAAATGCAAATTTATTTAGAATAACCTTATTGCTCTAAAGGTTCCATATAGGTCTGGTTCATGAGGAATGCATTACAAAGATGAGATTGATGTCTTTGATAGATTTAACCAGTAATGAATCTGGTGAAATTCCTTATACTGAAGTTGTGGAGGCTCTTCGGGTAACTTGCATTCTCTTTTTGCCCCTTGTCTAATATTTTATTTCATACAAATTGCCGATTATTTTTTTTTGCAGATCAAGGATGACGAGGTAGAAGGCTGGGTTGTTAAAGCAATAATGTCGAATGTTCTGGACTGTAAGATGGATCAAATGAATCAAGTTGTACTTGTGAGGTCCGTTAGTTGCTTATATGCACATTTTACTCATGGGGCATTTCAATACATACCACCCAATTCCTATTCATTTACATATCTAACACCTAAACTTTACCCTTTTTTTTATTTTTATACCACTCAAATCTTTCATATCACTTAAAAATTATCACCATTTTCATGCATAGGTAAAAATTGAAGTTTAGGAGTTTGAATTGTAGATACACAGGAATTGAGTGGTATGTATGTAAATCTTTCTTTACTCATTTTAATGTGCTTGAGCTTGTGAATGAATGAGTCTACAAATATGAAAGCTACTTGTTTTTCCAGTCCTTAAATAGGATATCTATCGCGTCTCATGCAGTCGGCGGACAGAACGGGTATTTGGCATCTCACAGTGGCAAGCACTTCAATCCAAACTATGGAAGTGGAGGGTAAGTTTCTTCTTCCCTTAGATTAATATCATGCTCATTTTTCACCTTCCTTTAATAAGTTATCATCTTACATGCATAGATAAATGAGCCATATTATGTTGAATCTTCATGGAAACTATGCATGCAATTCCAATGTTTAGGCACTTGATTTTATTAAGGAATTTTTGCATACTTTGCACACAATTCTTATGTGTTTACATATCTCACATCTAAACTTTCATATTTATATACATGGTACTTTGGTGTTTTAAACCGGTGCATGAAAAGATATATTTCACTTTTAAAAATGGTAATAGTGATATTTTGATGTGATATTAAAGATTCTGAGTGCAATGTGTGTGAATATGAAACTTTAGGTGTGAGATATGTAAATACGGAAGAATGATGGGCTATGTATGTAAATGCCCCTTTTATAAAAAGATGATAAATTATGCTTGTAATTTTGGACCTTTCTAATCAAAAGTAATACTCTTTCACCCATTCAAGTTCACTCATTTTTAACACCACCTCTGAGTTGATTTACCATCATCTCCATATATATTAAGTTTTAATATATAGCATGCCATTTTGACCTATTTGTGGAACTCTCAGTATGGTAAATATTGTTTTATGATAAATTATTTCTTCATCAAAGTTGTCCCTCTAATGCAACCCTTACTTTCTGATCCTTTATTTTACATTTTGGATTTTTCTTCTTATGTGACAAATGAACCATGCATGTTTAATTTTTATGATGAACCAATCCTTCATGAAAAGGTTGTCGCCGTGACAATCGAGCTCGAGCTCGAGCACGTGTATTTGGGCCATGAATATACTTCCATATGATTAGGAGTGTAATTGGGCTCAAGCTTGAGCAAACTTAATTGTTTTTCATCTCGGCTTATCAAAGAAACAAGCCATGACTTTTTCTATATGTTTGCTCGTTTATTTATCGAGCCAAACAAAATGTATTTTTTATAAAACTTATTTGAAATCCTCATATAAATTATAGGGGCATTTACATACATACTATCCAATTCCTATGCTACATTTATTATCACGTAAAAGATACCATTATTTTAATTTTAAAAAGTGAAATATAGCTTTAGGTAAGGTGGCATAGTTGTAGAAATTAAGGTTCAGGCGTTGTATATATATACACATAAGAATTGAGTGGTGTTTATGTAAATATTCCTAAATTATAAAGGTGAACATAGATGGATAGATAGATAGGTAGATAGATAGATGGATATCAAACTGAACAGGATAAAGGCAATAAATGCTTGTGTCTTTCTTGTTCAATAAATAAAGAATACGATCAAAAGCAAAAGACTAGTTTTTTTATTAGCCTTACTTGTGATATATTTAATTGGCTCTACGTTGTTTGAGCTTTTACAATTAATCTTTTTCGAAGCAGTTGTCATATGGACTTGATCTCGAGCTGCAGTTAATATATTTAAGGGGCATTTAACATACCCTACATTTACATATCTAACAGCTAAATTTTCCCAATTCTTTCATATCACATAAAAAAACTACCATTTTAACTTTTAAGAAGTAAATTACATCTTTCCATGCCTAGGTAGGATGACATGTATGTAAAAATTAAATTTTTGGTGTTAGATATGTAAATACATAGGAATTCAGCAGTATGTATGTAAATCCTCCATTTAAACATTGCATTTACTTTCATGTGATAAATGAGCCATATGATTTTGAAATTTTATTATCAATTCTTCATGAAATAGCCGTTCCCTTGACAATTTGGAGCTGCAATTTATACATATATAGGCTATACATATCCTAGCATGTGATGGGCTCGGCTCTTTAGTTTTTTTTAAATGTCTAGCATCTAAAATTTACTTTTTACATTTAAAATACCACTATTTTTACTTTTAAAACGTGAAATGCACCTTTCATGCATAGGCAAAATGACATTTATATATATGCGCCGTGTACTCAGATCAGTTAGTCGGACATCTCCTTGTCAGTTGTAAATCCTCTTTAGTATGGGATTCAATTCCCCCTAAGCGTAGGGCCGCAGATTCAGTAAACATGCATAGGATTAGTCAATTTTCTTTATGTCTGAACCAAAGGGTAAAGAATATGTATGCTTTTATTTGACACAATACAATTTGAACTGATTCACTTTATCCATTCACTATAATTCATTGACAAAGAGAAGGATGCTTTCTTATATATTGAATATCATATTAGAAATTTTATTAGTATAATTAGTTATTTAAGAGTTATCAAAATTACGTATTTATTTCAATTGTCTATTAGTGACAGATAAGCAATTTGAATTACATTGTTGTGATTAAGTATTGATTTTCTAAAATCTTAATTCATAGTTCTAATATTACTCCCAGTGGGATCAATATTTAGGACTCCATTAGAGCCCTATATTACTTGAGCGATACGTATACTTGCGTTGATAAGTGTGACTTTACCATTATTGAATATTTTATATATACATCTTTATCAAATCTATAACTGTTATTAAGTTTTGGTGCTGTTGCTGAGGAATTAAATCTTCTAGCAGTAGTATTAAATGCTTGTATTTTTAAGCATATATAAAGTCACTGTCAGTATTTTATTTGTCATCCCTGCAAAGCAGAGTTAGCACACTTTAATAACATACAAAGTAGATCTAAGGTGGCATTTCATTTGTCATTCTTGCAAAACATATTTAACATGTTTTGCTCAATGTAAATATGTTTATTGTTTATTTCTATTATTATTATTTTTTTATTTAGGACAACCCGGTCAAGATGCCCATGGCCTTCCATCGTCCTAGGGCTGTTAGGTTCCTCATCTATTTGGCCTTCCATCGTTCTATTAATTCAGACTCTATTTAAGTTGATATGGGTGGTTAACCTAAGTTAGGTTGAGTTAAACCAAGTTGGTTTGAGTTTTTCCGAGTTTGATCGGGTTAACTTAGGTTGAGTTCTGGTTGATTTAGGTTAACCCGGGTTAGGCTGGATTAACCTAAGATGAATGTTTAGTTGGCTTAAGTTGATTCGAGTTTGGTCGGGTCGACCCAGATTGTTTCAATTGATCAAGCCTAGGTCGGATTATACTTGAATTAGGTTTGATGGTTCGAGTCAGTTTAGGTCCAATTTGGATTAGACCTAAGTTGGATTAAGTTAGAGCTTGATTGAGTCAAGTCTAGATTAGATTAGACTTGAATTTGGTTAAGTTAAGTCTAAGTTGGGCTAGATTTGAACTAATTTTAGTTAAGTTCAGATTAGGACCAACCAGGGTTAGACTTAAGTTGGGTTTGAGGTTGGGTTTTAGACTGGTTGGGGTTGACTCGAGTTATTTTAATTGATTTGGGTCAGCTCGAGTTAGGATATATTGATCTTATTTATTTGAGTTGATTTGGGTTAACTCGAGTTGTTTGAGTTTATTTGGTTAGCCCGATTTAGGTCGGGTTGACCCGAGTTGTTTTAGTTGATTTGGGTTAGCCCGAGTTAAGTCGGGTTGAATCGAGTTATTTTAGTTGATTTGGCTTTACCCAAGTTCGGTTGTGTTGACCGTAGTTACTTTAATTGATTTGAGTTAGCTCAAGTTAGGTCGGGTTGACCCGAATTATTTTAGTTGATTTTGGCTAACCCGACTTAGGTCGGGTTGATTTGAGTTGTTTTAGTTGATTTGGGTTGACCCGAGTTAGGTGGGGTGGACTTGAGTTTTTTTTAAGCTGATTTGGGTTAACTCAAGTTAGGTCGGGTTGACCGAGCTGCTTTAGTTGATTTGGGTTGGCTCGAGTTTGGTCGGGTTGACCCAAGTTTATTTTAAGTTGATTTGGGTTAACCCAAGTTAGGTCGAGTTCACCCAAGATTGTTTAAAGTTGATTTGGGTTAAACCGAGTTAAGTCAAGTTAACCAAAATTTGTTTTAAGTTGATTTGGGTTAACCCGAGTTAGGCCAAGTTGACTCGAGTTATTTTAAGTTGATTTGGGTTGACCCGAGTTAGGTCGGGTTGACCTGGGATTGTTTAAAGTTGAACTAGGTCAAAATTGGGTTAGACCTAAGCTGGGTTCAGAGTTTGGTTACGTTAGGTCCAATTTAGGTTAGATCTAGGGTAAGTTTAAAGTTTAAATTCAGTTAAGCCAGGTTCAGTTTGGGCTAGATCAAACCTTAGGTTTTAGAATTGGGTTTAGTTGAGTCAAGGTTTGAATTGGGCAAGGTCCATTTTGGTTAGACCTGAGTCGGATTTAAAGTTGAGTTTAATTTGGATGAGGTCTAAATTGGGGCTTGGCCTAATTTAAGCTTGAAGTAGCTTATGTTGAACCTAGATTAATCTTAAGTTCGAATTGAATTGGGTTAGACCAAGATTGAATTTAAGAGTGGTTCATAAAGGGGGCTTCATGACTTTGACCCTCGTAGTGTCTTCATTGGGAAGTGATCTTAGGGTATCCTAGATTGATTTTCATGTTCAACTTAGGATTCAGAGACAACTTGGGGTGAAATGCAAAATTTGTAATTTTACAAATTTACCCATAGTATTCTAATTACATTTTTAAATTTTCAGAGGTGAAAATATTTATTTTAATGCATAAGGTTATTACTTAAATTTTTCTTTTTAAATTTCATTGTAGTTTAAATTTTTCTGACTTCTATTTTGTTTTTTAAGTAGGTCCTTTGACTTTGGAAAAATCAGAGAATATCCCTAAAGAAATAGGGATTAATCCCTGAAATTTTATATTTTTATATTTTATATTTGATTTTTAATAATTAAAATACTCTATAGAGCATCTAATTAATAAAAAAATAAATATAAGTTAATTATTTATATTTATATTTTTATTATTTTATCCTCTGTTCATAAAGTCCATAGGTACTTTTTACTTTATTTTTGCGATTTTTCTTTACAAAATTATGAATTCTTGAAGTTGAAATGTATTTTCTAGATTTATTTAATTCGAAAAATCCAGTTTTTTTCTCACTTAAGCACGTTGGCGCCGCATCAGCCTCGTACACGTCGAACTCCCACGCATCTGCTGCCTATGCTCTACGTAGACTTCAAGTAATTTATTTTTTTGCTATAAAAAAATGAGATGCATAAGTAAAGTGACACTTATGTATAATATTTAGAAAATACACCATGCTTATTGGTATGAATAAGTTGGAGATACAATTCTTGTGCTGGATAATGCCATCTTGTTCCTGAACTTTAGCTATTTGTGAGCTTCTTTGCATGTGTGGGTATGAACTTCTATTTTGTGAAAGGTGTGCTGAATATACATGGTGTGCTTGTGTACATTATGTGCATTAATATAGCCAAAATGAGCTTGCCTTGTCTTTTGTGAGCTTCTTTTGTATGCCTGATATTAGTTTGTTGAGTTTCTAGTGTGTATTGGTTTGTTGGGCCCTCTGTTCTTTCCAGCGAGATAGCGACCAACAACAATAGACAATGTTGGGCTATTATTTAAAGTGTTGGATTCGAATTTAAACCACTTTTGCTCAATAGAAAGAGCAAAACAACAAGACCACATAAGCTTTTATTTTTTAAACTTATATATAATTTTTTTTTTAAAGTAAAACAAGCCAAAAACGATCGAACAAAAGGATTTTTCGTGTTCAACTCGTTTATAGTTGGAGTTTAAAGAATGAGTCAAACACAAGCTACTTATCGAGGCGAACACGAGTTGCTCACAAAAAACAAGCTTTTTTGATAGCCGTACTTCCAATATCCACACACACAAAGTAAAAGCTGCCAATTCATTTTTTACAGTTCAATTGACAAACACACATACTAATAATGTTGACCCTTAGCAATAGATTCAACAACAAAAGGAAAAAGAGGCATTTACTTGCATACCACCCAATTTCTATATATTACATATCTAAGACCTATACTTCATTTTTTTTTTTACATTTACGCCACCCAAAACTTACATATCACATAAAAAATGCCGTTAGTTTAACTTTTAAAAGTGAAATACACATGCTCAAGCATGGTAAGACGGCACATATGTAAAAATTGAAATTTACGTGTTAAATATATAAATTCATGAGATTTGAGTAGTATGCATTTCAATCTTCCACTATATATATATATATATATATATATCACCTTAATACACTTACCTCCTATAAGAGCAGTCAATCTGAAAGCACAATGAGATTAGATTGATGGGGCATTTACATAAATACCACCCAATTCCCACATCTCTAAAACCTAAATCCCAATGTGAACATTTATACCCCCCACACCTTTCATATCACATAAAAAATACCACCATTAAGTGGCATATGTGTGAAAATTGAAGTATAGGTGTTAGATGTATAAATACAGAGGAATTTGAGTGGTAATGTGCATAAAACTTTCTCAGATTAATGGAGTTTTCATATCCTCTACTGCTTCATCTACAGTTCTGAATTCCTGCTCTGAAATTGAAACATATCTGCTTCCAGTTGCAGCAGCAGAGGGATCCACACTCTCTTTGGGAGGAAATCCCACAAGTCTGGCCAGCAACCACTGATCTATGACTCCACAATTAATTGCATACTTAATCATGTGTTCTAAATACCCCTTGTTGGTGATTAGATGTGGCTGTACTGTAAGCATTCTCATGAGACCTGACAGCATAAAAAAAAATGGGGAACATTTAAATAAGCACCACACAAATCTTATGAATTTATATTTAAAAGAGAAATACACCTTTTGATGCATAAATAAGGTGGTATTCATGTAAATATCAATGTTTATGTGCTAAATATGTAAATCTTCCATAACAAATAGGCACAAGTTAATAGAAGGAATGGCTTAAGCCTGATAAATCCTCATTTTTCATTCATTCAGGGCAAAGTTTTTGAATGGCATCTTTCAATGTTATTTCATGTTTACCAGTTTATCATTTATTTCCATCCTAATATTTTGATATTTATTGGAAGGTTTACATACATACCAGTAAATATACATGTATTTAAATATCTAACAACACCTAAACTTCCTTTTTTTACATATATACATATATGTCACCCATGCATGAAAAAGTGTGTTTCACTTCTAAAAATTTAAAGTTATAAATTTTAATGCATATATTATTTCCTTTTATCTCTAAATAATTAACATGAATTTTAATGTGAAATGAAATATTTGGGTGGTATAATTATGAAAAGTAAACTTTAGGTGTTAGATATTTTATCTCACCTTCTGAAGTACCTTCATTCTACAAATTCAAATCTCCCAGTCAATTTTTCATTACTTATCTTCAATTGATGGTATGGTGACATTAAGCTACTGTCTAGTAATGGATTTAGAGCGAGATTTAACCTAGATGTAGGTTAAATCTTGTAAGACGATCATTTTGGACAAAATAAAACCGAGCATTTGATAAATATGGATTTCACGAATTTCGACCATGAATCCAGGATTTACTAAATCCCACGAATCGGTTGATTTACGAAATTTACAGGATAGAGTTATTGGAATTATCTGGATGTAGGCAAAACTTTCCAAACAATTTTAATGGATTTACACGATTTACAAGATTGCATTGCCAGATAATTTTCGGGATTTAACCCTTTCAAGATTTAGTAAATCATGATTTACAGGATTTACTAAATCCTAATAACTTAAACAATATTCGTTGCCAGACGGCTCTTAAATGTCGCTCATCCGCATGTCGCTCATCTGATGATCCAGTTAGAAGAGTAGATGTTTTAGAATGTCGCTCATCCGATGATCCAGTTAGAAGAGTAGATGTTTTAGATTTTACTAATTTTAAGAAAGGTAGAGGTAGACCTAAAAAGACTTGGACATATTGCCTAAACCGCATTCCCGCTATTCTTTAGCACATGTTCCCTACAATAGTCCGACCTTCCGGTTTCCCGCAGTCCGATTTCCCTGATTCCTTAAGTTACTTGCTTGGCGCCGCCGCTCTGGCTTCCATTTGCGATAGTGAGGACGTCGGGTGGATATATGACCAGGCAGGGGGAGTGTCCAGTGATGGCATCAGACCAACTTTCTATACAGTCAATGAAGTGGTTTATTTAGTGCAGGTGCTTCTGTGGCTGTTTTTGTGTTGGAAGCCCATTAAAGCCATTATCATCCTGTTCAAGATATTTTATTACAGGCCTCCTCCAAAACTTTTTCCTACATCAGACCATCCTCCAAAACTTTTCTTGTATCAGGCCCTCCTCCGGAGCTTTTCCTTACAGTAAGCCCTCCTCTAGAGCCTTTTTTTGTATCAGCCCATCCTCCAGAACTTTTTTCCTGCATCAGACTCTCATCCGAAACTTTTCTGCTGCAAACCCTCTGCTGGAGCTTTCCCAGTAGGTCATCCTCTGGAGCTTTTTCCTGTTTCAGGCCCTCCTCTGGAGCTATCACTGCAGCCGACCATCCTCCTGAATTCTTCCTTAAGCACATCTTCCTCTGAATTCTTTTCCTGCAACAAAATCTACCTCTTGAGTTATTTTTCTGTAACACGTTCTTCTCTGGAGTTTTTCTTGCAACGAGACCTGCCTCTTGAGTTATTGTTTTGCAGGCCATACCCTGTAGTTTTCTTGTTGGTTGTCGACTTCTCTACAAACTCTTCTGCAACATTACTTATAGCAGCCTTCCGTTTACCTATAGACACTGCACGAGGTGCAGTCAAAAGAATCACAATTGCTTATTTCCCTCCAAACTCTTCTGCAACATTATCTGTAGGAGTTTTCTGTCTACCTACAGAAATTGCAGGACCTGCAACCGTTGTTGTCTACTTCCCTTATAACTCCCCTATTACAGTATCTATAGGAGTCTTCCACCTACCTACATGTATTGCAGGAAGTGCAGTCAAAGACAACCGCAACATGGATAAAGACTTCAAGTTTTACTTCTCAGGATCTTCCTCACCTATTGTTTGGAGTTTTCAAATCGAGGTTGAAAATGGTTTTCAACCATGTTTCAACTTGAGAGGGAGTGATATGAGTTAAACTAGGAAATTATAATTTATTCATGTGAGAAATTATGAGGAATAAATTATTTCCTTGGATTAAGGAGTTATTTCCTTTGCTATTTTATATGTATTTCCTTATAGTAGGGGTTATTTCTTTCCTATTTTAGGCTTTCTTTTTTATATTATTTCCTTTTATCTCTAAATAATTAACATGATTTCATTATGGGAGATATTATGCGATATATCTTTCCCTTTCATGTTATTTCTTTTAATTATCTTTCGTATTCTAGGATTTATATAAGCTTATTTACACCCCTTTCATATCAATGAGATTATTTTGGATTCCACTTTATTATGAATTTCAACATGTTCAATCTTCAATTGATGTCCAAACATCAATCTTCTAGTATTATCAATTTATCCTTCCTAATTTTTCTACAACTTCATCTTATCATTTTGCCTTGATATAGTCACTATCATCAAAAGCATTATCGCAATCAATCAAGGTTGACTTTATGAATCTTAATTTTTCATTCATTCTATCGAGTGTACCTTATCTACAATTGTAAATATATTATTTACAAATTATTTTGAATATTTTTTATCAAAATAAAGCCTAAATAGGATCGAGCTCTTACATACCTGCAACAAGAGCGTCCCCAGATACCGACATATCGCTCGTGAAAGGAGTGATAGGAGCATCTTCCATTCCACGAACAAAACCGTTATCATTTATGGTGTAATAATGCACCTTAGAAGTTCCATTTGTCACAAATAGAACTTTGAGATCATCATGCCATAGCTGTTTCACCACCTCGTGCTTATAGTGGGTGAATTTGGATTTCTCGTTGTCTTTTGTATCAAATTTCTCAGTGGGCTCTATCCCACACAAGAATTCTAGCTCCTGTTTTGTTACTTCAATGATATCTGCAGCGTTCCATGCTTCTTCGATGAACAAATTGGTTTCAGTTCTGGATTTCCACAGAGGTAATGGGAGGTTGAGGTCAAAGAAAATAAGCCCTCCATACTTCTTGGAAATCCTAATGGCTTCCATTGTGGTTAATCTTGTGCTTTGTGCTAATAAGGATGAGGAATTGAAATAGAACATCTTCCCCTGCATTCAATATTTGGTTTAGAATAGAAAATGATTAAATCGTTTCAAGTGAAGTGCCAAAATAGTACACCGACTGTTTACATGAGGCTATTTTAATCTCATATTCTATAAAATTTAGGGGCATGTGCATACATACGACCCTATTCTTATGCATTTATATATCTAACACCTAAATTTTACTTTTTATAATTGTACAATCAAAATCTTTCATATGACATAAAATATAGAACTATTATACCCTTTTCATAGATAACGTGACATACATGTAAAAATGAAAGTTTGTCTGTTAGATATGTAAATACATAAGAATTTAAGTCGTATGTATGAAATTCTTCCTTAAATTTATAGGTAACTTAAACAAACAAAACACGTATTTAGATAGGACGATTTTGACACTTAGCTCTTTATTCTAATGAACTGTTGTAGGATACACAAGGCTCTTGATGATAGTAGTCGAAGCATACCTTTTTTCCGAACTCTACTTGTAGTTTTCTTAGAAGCTTCAACAGAAGCCTCATCTTGGACTTTCTCCTTTTCTTCAGTACTTACAATCACATCTGCAGACCGCTGGTCAGAAGGCTCCTTATTAATCATTTTTCTGCTCCGACTTGTTCGTCGATCATTGTTTGGAGAGTTTTCACTGCTTTGTTTGGAAAATGAATCTTGTTGATCAACTAGAGGCTTTTTTTTGGAGAATGCAAGGACGCAACACTTCTTCAATCTCGCACCTCCAAGTCGAAAATTATTACAAAATGCAAGTACCTCACACTGGCTTGAATCAACCCTGTTTGATTGAATCATTCCAAAATTAAAGAACTCGTCATTTAGAGTTGGGACATTCACATCCATACCGCCCAAATCTTATGTATTTATATATCTAAAACCTAAGCTTTACTTTTTACATTTATGCCGCCCAAATCTTTCATATCACAGCAGAAATACCAATATTTTAATTTTTAAAAATGAAATGCACCTTTTCATGCAAAGGTAAGATGGCATATATGTAAAAAATGAAGTTTGTAGATATGTAAATACAGAATTGAATGGTATGAATGTAAATCTTCCTTTCGAGTTACACCAGAATATGCCTTCGGTGAATAGTAGCTGCATCCAAGAAGTTCTGAGTATACTTCTCCGATACAATCAATTGCCATCAATTGCACACACACACACACACACATACACACACACACAGAGAGTTGATGATGAGTCAAAAAAATAAAACCATACAATCATAACATTTATCAAGCATCTTAGATAGAATGTTGAGTTCATGGAGTGCAGGCAAACATCATATTCAAGCGAATAACTTTGAACGAATCAGTTGAGACTAATACGAGTATCCCACCAATAAAACGTTAAACTCTGTTTAGTTTGAAGGAATTGAAAGAGAGTAAATCAAAATCAATATATTAAATAACATTTTTAACTTGAAACCAGTTCACCTTTTACAAATCAGTTCACTTTTAAGGTTGGCAAACTATTTTTTAAGCCGCATAAATCCAATTACAAATTTAAACCCCTTTTCCGACCAATTAAATCTAAAATCCTTATTGAATAACTCTCAAAGGAGGTATAATTTAAGAGTTTACAATGCTCCTCACTATATCCATTCTTCCCCTTCATTAAAATCCTTAATTTTAAAGGAGAAATTTATATACATACCACCCAATTCCTATGTACTTGCATATATAACACCTAAACTTTACTTATAACATTTATATCACCGAAATCTTTCATATCACATAAAAAATATCACTATTTTAAATTTTAAAACGTGAAATACACCTTTTCATGCATAGATAAGGTATTATGCATATAAAAATTGAAGTTTAAGAGTTAGATGTGTGAAAATATAGGAATTGAGTTGTATGTTTGTAAAACTTGCATTTTGAAAATATTTAACAAATAATTTACAAGAAATCAACTAAATTTAACATCTATCAAGCCGAACCATTATCAGGAATATTTTCTAAATAACTTCAAGATTCCTGAATCTAGATTTACAATATTTGGAAAATCCTACTTGCAGACAAGCGGCCACTTTAGTTATTCAAAACAACCCTATAGTTGTAACCGAAACTTAAGCACTGCAGGTGGTATTTTCTCACCTCCCTTCTGCCTAGGACCATATCAGGTGCTCTAGAACTTTCCCTTCATTAGCATATATACACGTTGTTGTATCACTTTATTGCTTTGAAAATGAATTACCAATGTTCTGCATGACATAGCTGTGATCCCTGCTGTAAGTTATCTACTATGCTTTCAGCTTCCACTCTGATTCTCTTTTTGCACGTTCTCATGGTATCAGAGCCCATGTTTCTATCCTAAAAATCTTTCTTTCTCTCTTCAATTATGTTGAAATCTCATTCTTATACTAGAGGAACATAAGTTTTTTCTCCCTCACCCATGGCTGACATCAGGATTCCTCCATCTCTCAGGTTTCTTATGTGCATTATAAAGACAATAACCAATTTTTAGCTTACACTGATAACTATCCTACAGTTAGTCCATCGAAGAAAACTCCGAACTCGAATGGACAACTTTCCCCTGATCCTCATTTCTTCACTTGGGAACTAATTGATCAAAATCTTTCAGCTACAATCTACTCAAACAGTTCACTTTCAATCCTACCACGCATACTCAATCAAAAATCCACAATAGAAATATGGAACATTTTGGCTAGACAGCCTCAGTCCACCAACAGATCCAGAGTAATGCAGCTAAGCAACGAAAACCATTCTCTTTATAAAGAAATTTTCAATGTCCAAATACCTACCATATATCAAGTCTTTAGTAGATAATATTGTAGCAGCTTGTGGTCAAACTGATCAAGAAAACATCATTCTCCACATACTCAATAGCTTGCCGTCCACTTATCATCCTTCAAAACTTTCATCAGAACAAGGATGGAACCAATCAAATTTGATGATCTCTGCTCAGTGCTATGTAGTAAGGAGATAAACATTGCTGCGCAGAACAAACAAAGGAGTCCAACGCAGTTGTCACTGCTCTCTGCTACACAAATACCATAGGGGGCGGCCACAGCAACTCAAGAGGTCATAATAGGAACCCTACTGTCGCAAAAAGAGGAGCTGCTCAAACTAACTTCTAGCACCACCTGTCAAATTTGAGGAAAATATGGCCACAAATTCCAAACAGGATGACTGGATCCTGGACAATGGTGCATCCTCCCATCTCACGACCAATTTCGATAACCTACAGCAAGCAACACCTTACCTTTGCAATGACAACATCCTTAGTTGGAGATGGATCTGCTCTTCCCATCACACACACAGGACAGGGAATCCTCCCTACTTCCCACCATAAGTTGCTGCTTCCTAAACTTACATACTCCCTCATCATGCAAAAACCACTTCTGTCCATCAGTTAACTTCTGATAATAACTGCAAATTATTTTAATAACTTTGGCTTTGTCCTCAAGGATCAAAGGAAAAATAAAGTAATTCTTAAGGTGCACAGTAGAAACGAACCATATCCAATCACAGCTTTTTCAGCAGTCCACGTCACTTCCATCACACTATCTCCACTTTGGCATAGAAGACTCGAACACCCTCACCATGAAGCTACAGTAACCATCTCCAAAACTACGAATTCCTTGGCTATTCCTACTTCAAACTTTTCTTGAAATGAATGTAATTTTGCAAAAAGTCACAAATATCCCTTCTCTCTATATGTTTTTAGATCTAAACTACCATTTGCACTTATTCATTCTAATGTATGGGAGCCATTCCCAACAACTTCTATACAAAGTTATAAATACTATCTATCACTTATCGATGACTACCCAAGGCATTGTTGGATATTTCCAATGTTTACTAAAGCTAAAACCACTACAAAAATCATTTCATTTCATAAATTGGTTCAAAATCAATTTAACACATACTTCAAAATACTATGCATTAATAAGGGAGGCGAATACACCTCAAATAGCCTAACATAATATCAATAACACCATGATATTTACCAATTCAGTTGCTCCTATACACTCCAATAAAATGGGATGCCGAACG